GAGTTCCTATTTTTGTGAGTTTTATTTCACAAAATCATGGAAGACAAGAGACTATTGAAACATATCTTCTTTTATGCTTAAAATGCAATTTTACATAGGAAGTTTATAGAAATATATAGGGTTTTTCAGTATGACTTTTCATTGTGTACTCCAGAGAAGTAGTACATTAAACCAGATGTTTTTGGTACACTTTGGCTATGGATAAATAAAATGATATGAAGTTGAAAGGGAGGAAGGGGCTTACTGAGCTCTGGAGTAACTGTTTCAAGTATTCTGTTTATTCCATTTTAAGTGGGAGGTAAAACTGTGGTAAATGTTAACAGCTGTTTCATTTAGGGGTGAATTGCTCTAAATTAGCTTCTATTCCTCACAGGATGGAGCAGACGCATGAAAAAGTTACCATAGATGAGGTGATGTGCTGTAAGACCCCTTCTCCTTTTAACTTTGTATACTTTGTTCATCTCGCCATGCCCTTTGAAAGCAATTTAGACTAGACAGGCACATCTAGATGAGCGTGCACATGCAGTATGCAGTGCTGTGGATCCATCTGTGGCGCCACACTCTGCACGTGCTCCACAGGCAGGAGTTCCCCATGCTGCTAATCTGCAACCTGGGGCATGGTGGGGAAGGGGCAGGGTTTGACACTGGGAGATCCTGGTGTCAAAAAACCCATGCTACAAAAAAGCAGGGCAGTGCACATGGCAGCAGCGTGCACCACCTGAAACTGGAGCCTGGCCAGTCAGAGCCATACTCCCTGCTTCTGGATTACCACCACTGAAGCCCCAGGGAGGACCCCAAGTAAGGTTGCTGGGGCCAGTCTAGGTACAACTGGGGTCAATTTGCCATGCGCCAGAGTGCATGTGCACAGGTGTTTCCTGGGGACAAGTGGCAGTGTCACAACTATGTGCAGATGCTGTTTGTCCCCAGGGCAATGCATGTGTGCGCTCATCTGAATGTGCCTGACTTATGTGAAAAGTCAGTCAAAACAAAGCAGCGTTCAAAATCAGGTTCTTTCCAACTTGGAGTTTAATCAATGAATTGTATTTTGCATTAAGTTTTTTATTAAAAATTTTGTTGGACATTTTACTATTCCCCCCCCCCCCAATTTCTGTCTCTTCTTAGCAGTTTGGATGGAGCTTTTTAAAGTGAATTTTGATATTCATGTTTTAAGTTGAAATAGGTTGCTTGGAAAAATCACCGGGTATGTTTTTTTTTTGTTTCTTGAATGGTTGAGTCTACCAAATATGGCTGAGGCTCCTGCATACCCATTAGGGCAAGCCAATGACTCAGTTGCTATAAGGGTGGAGGAAGTGAGTGCTGAATAACACCAGCCCTAAGACATACAGTCACATGGTCTTCTTTATGAATTTTCCTTGGAAAGGCTAGTACTTGGATTAGAATTACTTCAGTGAGTAGGAACTGCTGTCCTGGTGGAAATTCAGGTAGAGCAGTACATTTTTGGTTGGGGATCTTGTTGACTTCAGCTAGTACGAGGAATTATTATCAGAGATACAAAGGGTAGCTGCACGCCTAAGGGTACAGATTACCTTTACAGCATTCCAGATCTGTCAGCTGTTAGGTGGCCTTAAAGTTAGAATAGTTTCAGAGCAGTCACAGGTTAAGGCTCAGTGCAGTCTCTGACTTACACAACTGTGGCTTGCCAGTAGAGGGCCAGGTGAGCAGGGCACAAAGTATTTGGGCACAAAGTAACTACATGACACATTTTGTAGTTCTTTCAATCCACTTCCATTCTTTCAAGGAGTTTAAAGTAATTCATGTAGTTTTGGTGATTCAAGTCAGTGCCATTACATATGGTTGGGGTTTGGATAATAATAATTTATCTTTAATATATGGCTTAATTAATGTGTATTGAGGATGACTTCAGATAAGTGTCCAAGAGCACAGATGATATGTGAAATCACTAATTATCTTAAATGGAATGTAATTATGAAACAAAACAACTATGATTTATAGGAAGAGACCAATATTTTCCCATGCAACTTGTGTTCTAACTTTGTCTCTGCTTTTCACAAGAACCCATGCTTCCTCAGGAGGCCAGTGGCTAAAATATATAATAAAAACCACACATCATTTCAAGGCTCTTTTCAAAACTTATGTTAAAAACCATGAGATCAGAATTGCAACATTCTAGATGGAGTAGGGAAAGCAGAATTACACATAAGGGCTAGGGATCGACATTACACATAAACTAGCTTAAGTGATCAGAAACTGGTTTAAACCTGTAACAGAACAGATGTTCAATGCACATAAGCCAGTTTGAAAATGGCTGAAACCAATTTGAGATAAACTTGGCTTAATGTTGTATCATATTTAACTGATTTGGGTCAAACCGGTTTATGCAATATCTGTCCCAGACTCCTTGCTGGTTTAAGTTAAATCAGACTCCCACAGCACCCTGGCATGCTCGCTGGGCTGGGCTGGGCTGGCCTGGGCTGGGCTGGGTGAGGCGGGGGCTGATTGCTCCACAGCAGAGCTGGCCCCTTCCCTGTGCTTCCTGACTGAAGCTGTGGCAGAGAGTGCAGGGGTCTCCCCTTTGCACCAACACTCCCTGCTAAGCAGGGATTCTGCTGTCCCCTCTGCCTTACACAGACACACAGCATTAGCTAGCAGACCACATACTGGCTATGGCCTGTGCTGTGGCAGACAGGACAAAAGCAGAATCAACAGGTAGCTGATAATGTCTGTCTGTTGTTTTCTTAATGGGATGATAAACACTGAGTTAGAGGTGATATACACTGTGTTATCAGTTCCCTGCTAGGCTGGTCAGGAGCGGGGGAGCCCCTCCCTAGTTGGAGCATCCTGCTGGGACCTGGCCATGCCCCCCTCAGCCCAGCACTGTGGAAGGGAAGGGAGGGCTGCTCTAGCACCCCCCAGCTTCTAGCCTGAGCCACTGCAGGCATGTGCCTGCATTTCAGAGTCCAGAGGGGATGTCTGTATGGTTACAAACTTGTTTAACCTAGCCAGGTTAGACTAACCTGCAAAGCTTGAATCAATTCAGGCTCAGGTTTTTTGAGCATCTGTCCCTAGCCAAGAAGGAAAACGTTAACTGTTCTGGAGTAGGCAAGTGGCAGTGCTCAGAACTGAAACCCCAATAATGCCAACTATAGCTGCATAGCTTCTATAGTTGTTGCCTATTCGTTTCTAAATTTTGGGTTGATTGTGACATATCATAGTCACTCCATGGTGACTAACAAATGGTGAACTTCCAAAGGAAATCACTGTGCCTGAAGTTTTTCTTTTGGACTTGAAGCATGCTTGAGACAAAGTTCTATTTGTGGTACAAATAGTGTATTGAGTGTTTTACTGTTTTGAAAGTTAGGTAAATAGCTTTTTATGGCAACCAGATTGATTCACCTGTTCCCACCAGCAATTTATGTTTGATCCGTAACTGCATGGCCATTGTCACTGTCTATCACATTAATCCCCAAGTCCTACTTAAAACTGCAGCAATCATTTCATAAGTTAGCATGCAAAGCACATAGTGTGGTGGTAGTGGTGATGCTGATCAGAGATGGCATAAATAGGACACAACTGGGAGATAACATGCTGTGTATATCATGGAAAGTGTTGCTCTGTTAGGTGAAAAATAAAGTGATCTATGATAATTCAATAACTGTGCAAATTCTATATTCACTGTAATTCCTAGCAGTGTTCTTCTGGAATTAACCATAACCCTTTCCAATAAATCTGCCATATGCTATTTGCACACAGTTTTTGTGAAGTGTGGAGTGAAGGTTCCACACTGTTTCTGGACAAAGCTTTTTTATACAGAGCGCACCACTTTTTGACCATATAGTTTTCACACAATTTTTATTTATCTGAGGAAATGGAAGCCAAAATAAAAGTACCTATTAGGGGTGTGTGAAGCGGGCCATATTCAATTCAGATTCGGATTTGGCCTGATTCGGGGGACATCAATTCAATTCGCTGATTTGGATTACTGTCCTGAATTAATTCTGCCAAATCCAAATCTGAAGATTTGGTTCTGATTTAGAGAAGCAACAATTTGGTCATAGACGCATCTTTATATGTTTTTTCTACATACCTCAAGGTACCAGGTGAAGCTTGTGAAGGCTGAGATGGTGGGGCAGATGGAGCATCCCACAGGAGCGTGGAGGGGGGGGGCGGGGAGCTGCATGCTTGGCAGCAGACCCAGAAGTGGACTGGAAGTACTTCCAGTCTGTACTTCTGGTCCACTTCTGGGTCCACTGCTGAGCATGCGGGAGACCTCCCCCCACCCCCCCCCCCCCTCTGCTTCAGCAGTCAGCCATGGGGGAATTCCAGGTGCCCCCACAGACCCAGGAGGCACCAGTTGCCAAGCCGGAGGGCAAAGGGGGTCCCCATGCGCTCTGTGGCAGACCTGGAAGTGGACCAGAAGTGCTTCTGGTCCACTTACTGGTTTGCCACCAAGCATGCTGGGGGACCCGCCCCCCACACTCCTGTTGAATGCTCCATCTGCCCCACCATCTCAGCATTCACGAGCTGTCTGGTACCTTGAGGTATGTAGAAAAAACAAAGCTGTGTCTATGGCCGAATCATCGAATCTCTCCAAATCGAATCAAAGGCATCCGATTCAATTCAGAGAGATTAATGGGTCTTTTGATTCGATTCAGATTTGGAAATTCAGCCGCCAAACCAGGCCAAATCAAATCAGCAACTGAAACTTCACACAGACCTAGCACCTATCATGGCTTAGTAGGAATATACCTCTGATTTGCTTATTGACATTGTCTCTGTTTAGGTTGTACAGAAATAGACTGTAGAAAGGCCAATTAATCTAAATGACTGAGATACTGCTAACAAAATTACAGCAAGACATTTATGGGGAAAAGTACTTGTGCTAGAATTTCAAGCCAGCTGAATGGCAGCTACTTCTTCACTGATATATATAATGTTGGCCTGTTAGTATTTGCTTCAGGAATTAAAACAAAACCAGGAAAAAATGTGAAAGCAGTAATCTGCAAAAGGATCACCTGGGAGTTAATATTTCCTCAGTAAGTGAGACTGAAGGAAAGAGGTTGTCTGTAGTGTTGCAGTGGCTTATACAGCTACAGCATTCTGTGTCTCAGTAATGGCAAAACAGTCATAATTGGTTCTCAAATGTTTGCAAGTGATGATACTTCTGAACATTTGGAGCCTAACGGTGCCTGTGGAGAAGGAAAAGGGAGACATACAGCCTTATAAACACAATAATAATAAATTGGGTAAGGAGATGCTTATATCCATAAGTAATTCTTACAAGTTTCCTCTCATTTCTTGTCAAATCTTTTTCTTATTACCACTGTTCAAAGCCATTTTTAGAGCTGTTCCTCTTTTTAACCTTGGGTTATTTCAAACAGATGTTTTTGAAGTGCCTTGTTTGTGTTGTATTGAGTGCAGGAAATCACAGGCAATTTTTTTCCCCTCTTTACACAAACAACCACAAATGAAAATTGTCTCTCATAAAATACTTTTTGGCTGGAATAAAATAGAAGTTCTCAGTGGAAACTCGCATGAGTTGTAGCCACCTACTGGTCTGGTTCTGTTCTATGTCAAGGGTCAGTAAGTATATAATTTACCATTACTTCCAATAGATTCTTGCCACCAGAACAGTTCTTTTTAGAACCAATTCTCCAAAGTTGACCTGTTTGAAAAATGTATTTTCATCTAATGAGTATTTGTACTAAAATTCCATGGAAGTGTTCCCACACACCACCCTGTAAAAAGTGTCATTGATAAACTTTACTTGGTGAACTAGTCATGCCTAGCCTTAGTGTGGAGAAAGTAGAGGAGAGATTAAGCCTGTGATTAAAGCAAAGTATTGGGAATTACACTTGATGCATGTTCCAGGCCCCAGCCTCTATTACTTCTTACTCTCATGACGTTCACCTGCCCAGTCCTATTGACTTCCTAGGGATTGCTCATGTGAGTAGGTCTTGGCAGTGTCAAAGAAATTGGCTGTGTAAACCATTAACCACTAGCTCTCCTTCAGCTGAATATACTCTAATCATCAGTGGAATGTGTGCCAAGCCATGAAGTTGGATTTGGGACAAATTTAGTTCCCATTCATAGTAGTACACATATGTTTGAATGGTTAGTGATCAATAGAAGAACACTTAAAAATATTAGTCAGGCTGATAATTAAGGCAGATAAGGGGAGAGTCAGCAGACCAAAGTCCAAAGTACTAGTCAGTTATCACTACCAAGACCATAATTTGGATAGCAGTTTTATAAATTTGTTTAATTTTCAGTCCAAAGAGATTATTAAAGCTGTAATCAAAGTACTTTTTATCATTTAATAGCCTGATAATCTCGGTAGTACCATTTTTTCTCACATACAGCACCATATTTTTGGAAGGCAACATATAGTGAAGAAAAAAGATTTTTCCAGAGTCATGGCCAACTGTGTGACATGAAGTACGTCCTGAAAACATAGAGTGTCTAGGAAATGTGGCATCTAGACCTTCCTGGTGTAGCAGACTTTTGTCTCCTGCAATGCTAGACTTGTTCTCCTTGACTTGGTCTTGGCCAAAGGAGATGATCTGGAGTGTGGCTTGAACATTGAGGGTAGCCTGGGCAACAGCAATCACGAGCTCATCAGGTTCACTGTCCACCGCAAAGTTGACAAATCAAGTAGCAGGATTGAAATCCTGAACTTCAAAAATGCTGACTTCAATAGGCTCAAGGCATTAGTAGGGGAGGCGATGTGAGACCAGGGATGGAAGGCGAATGGGATGCACAAAGAGTGGGCATTCCTCAAGGACATGATCATCAAAGCACAAAAGAAAACTGTTCCCATGAAGATAAAAGGTAGCAGAAGAGCTGGCAAGCCCTCCTGGCTCAACAGGGACATCATAGTCCTCTTGAAAAAGAAAAAAAAAAGAGGCGTACACACAGTGGAAACTAGGGACAGTCCTGAAGGAGGACTATACAACAGTGGTCCGCACTTGAAGGGAAATGATTAGGAAAGCTAAGGTGGTGACTGAGTTTAAGTTAGCCAAGGGTGTCAAGGACAATAAGAAGTCCTTCTTTAGGTATGTAGGGAGCAGAAGGAAAACAAATGGAAGCATGGGGCCTCTGCTTGACACCTCGGGACAGCTGGAAATGGACACTCAGGAAAAGACTGAACTCCTGAATGCCCACTTTGCTTTGGTATTTTACAAGACCAAGGGGAAAGACAAATGAGACAAGGATCACAGGGGGCATGGTAGGAATGATAGACATCCCACTGTGGATGCTGAGCTGGTGCAAAACCAACTAGAAAAGCTAGACATTTAAGTCAGCAGGACCAGATGGACTTCACCCGAGAGTGCTGATGAAGCTGGCTGAGGTCATTGTGGAACCCCTGGCAAAACTTTCAGAAATTGTGGCACCTGGGGGAGATCCCTGAGGACTGGAAGAGGGCCAACGTTGTGCCCATCTTCAAGAAGGGGAAGGGAGGACCCGGGCAACCATAGGCCAATAAGCCTAACCTCGATCCCAGGGAAAATCCTGGAAAAACCCATTAAAGAATCTGTGTGTGATACGCTTGTTGAGGGTAAGCTTCTGAATGACAGCCAGCATGGCTTTCGTCATGGGTAGATCTTGTCTTACCAATCTCATCTCCTTCTATGAACTGGTCTATCACCACCTGGACATGGGAGAGAAGGTTGACATTATATACCTAGACTTCCAAAAGGCTTTTGATCTAGTATCCCACAATTTCCTTGTGGAAAAATTGGAAGATTGTGGGCTTAACTGCTCAAAAGTTCAGTGGGTGGAAAACTGGCTACAGGGTAGGACCCAGAGAGTTCTCATGAATGAATCTGTGTTGTCCTGGTGAGAAGTGGCCACTGCTGTCCCTCAGGGGTCTGTGCTTGGACTGGTGCTTTTCAATATCTTTATCAATGATTTGGACGTGGGGGTGAAAAGCTCGCTGGCCAAGTTTGCTGATGACACCAAGTTATGGGGGAGCATGGCCATGCCAGAAGATAGGTTGCAGATACAGGTGGACCTGGACAGGCTGGAGAGTTGGGCAGACCAGAACCAGATGAAGTTCAACACTCAGAAGTGTAAGGTGCTCCATCTGGGAGCAAACAATCCCCAACATACCTACATGCTCGGTGGTGACAGTTTGACTTGCACCGTGGCTGAAAGGGACCTAGGGGTAGTGATTGACCATCTCATGAACATGAGCCAGTAGTGTGATGCTGTGGCCAGCAGGGCATACAACACGCTGGCATGCATTAACCATTGCATCTCATGCAAAACTAAGGAAGTGATACTCCCACTGTACTCTGCACTGGTGAGACTGCAGCTGGAGTACTGCATCCAGTTCTGGGCACCGCACTTCAACAAGGATGTGGAAAAAGTTGAGAGGGTCCAGAGAAGAGCCACCCATATGATCAGGGACTTGCAAGACAAGCCATAAGAGGAGAGGCTGAGGGACTTGGGTCTCTTCAGCCTACAGAAGAGAAGGCTGAGAGGGAACTTGGTAGTGGCTTACCACTACATCAGGGGAGTACAGCTACTCACCAGGGCACCCCTGGGGAAGACCAGGAGCAATGGATACAAACTCCTGGAAGGCCGCTTCAGGCTCAATTCCAGGAAAAACTCCTTCACAGTCAGGGTGTCCAGACTGTGGAATAAATTTCCTCTAGTGGTGGTGCAGTCACTTGCCCTGGAAATCTTAAAAAAAAGAGACTGGACAGTCACCTTGCTGGGGTCACTTGACCCCAGTTGTCTTTTCTTGCCTAGTGCAGTGGGACTGAACCTGATGATCTACAAGGTTCCTTTCGGGCCCTAACAATCTATGAATGTATGAATGCCACAGTACCTGGACAATTTATGTTTCTAGGGGGTCATACTCTGTGTCACCCAGGGTTAGGCCCCAGACCCTTGCAAGAGGCAGTGGTAAGACTGTTAGTTTTTTACTGTAAGCAGTACTTTATATAAGCTCCTGTTGTTTCCACATCACAAGCCTCATCAAGATACTACCAGCAGTTCACTTGTTTCTTCAAGCACAAGCTAGAGTGCTTAGCCAACAGGGGTAATACAGGACTCCATCCTTTCAGCTTGCACAAGTGACAGACATCTTGGCAATTGCATAGAATATATACTGTCTCCAGGAGTGCTCCTTTTTCAGCAAAGAAAACAGCTTCCCTACTAAAAACCCTCAACCCATTTTGGGTGCTGATTTTAGGGGATAAGGGTGCATGTTATATGTGAAAAAATATGTTTTTTTTTAATTGCCTATTTTTGACTTTGCTCTCTAGAGCATATGATTCTATTGCTAGTGCCCAGGTTGTCATAAATTCCTGGCTCGGTGATTTAAGCAGCAAACATCTCGCTGTACACTTACAGTTTGTAAATTTAAGAAGCAGACAGTGCCTTGATTTACAGCCCCTGGCAAGTGACAGTATAATGTTTACTGACAACTTTCAAAATGCAGCACTCCAAAATAAAGATAATTAAGGATACAAAGAGTGGGCTTGTTTTGAAGAAACGCAAACTGGCCAAGTCACTAGCACCCACTGGGATTTTTTTGATTTTGCAAATCAATAGAATTCCTGCAGGTTTGAGGCACATCTTGCTTTATGAAATTTTGTCTATAGTTTTAATGCAAAGAGGAGAATTAAAAGCAGATTTTGAAAATGGCTGTGTAAGTGCCTTAGCTAGCAAGTCCACATAATGAGGTTACCAGAGAAGTATGGTGAACTGAATTGTTGGGCTTTGTTTTTCAAATGTTCAAGCTGCCTAGCAATAATTCATTATGGCTATTAACAATATTTAATGCTTAAATATTTCATTTTTTCTCTCCCCAGCATGTGCTTAATCCTAATGCATTAAGTCAGACATTCCTGAGGCGTTGATAATTATGTTATCCAGACTGAGAAACTTAAGCAGAGAAATTGGGACCTCCATTTTAAGCACTTCCTTTAACCTGAATGCCTCAATTTTTGGATGTGGTACACAAGATACAATTGGTCTGATATTTGGAAGTGTTCCTTAGCTAGAGCTCTTACTGACTTCATCCATAGGTTTTTTTTTGTTCTCTGAAAATAAATTCTAGGCTGTCTTGCACTAGATGCTAAAGATGTAGGTTCTTTCCCAGAATTAGTGGGCATTTGAAGAATTAGGCTTAAATAACACAGCAAAAGCTATAATGAAGTGAAAGCCAAGTTTAGAAATCCTCAGCTATTTTAATTGTCATGTCTGTATTAAAAGTAAATGGAGCAATGACAGTTAACAGCAGCTGAAATACTGCCTCCAGGATTCCTGATTTATAGTCTCCTAGGACCTGTGATTGCTAGACCATGATTGTTCAGTTCTACCATAAGTCTTCAAAATGCCCTCTGAGCCCTACTGAAGCTTCACCTCTAGGATCTGAGATTTTCCTGCCATTCTTTTTTATTATTGTTGTTATTTTTGTGTTCTATTTTTCTACTGTACTACTTTCTAGTTCTTATAGTGTGCTCATTGCCTCAATTTCTGAGTATGTAAATACCTAGCAGACAATTTACAACAGCAAAGTGACATAAACAAAAGCTGCAATAGATCTGAAATAGATTATCATAAGACTGGTGGTTTGGATCTCACTTTACTGATCCTTTGTCCTCCACTCCCCAAGAATATCCTCTGCATACAGTTGATGCAGATAGGTTATGCTCTTTGTTTTGCCTTTAGATACGCAGTTATAACTCTCCCACTGCCCAACATAACTTTCTTTTGCATACAAACAGGCACTCATTGGCTTTAAAATCCAGAAAATTCAACATACTAAGTTTATGAAATACAAGACACAAGAAAATGTCATATTAGCCTCTGAAATCTTTACTAGGTAGTGATACATACCCTTAGACATAGGAAGGATGGCCGGATCCTTTGATCTGGAATCTGAAAGGTCATTATTTGTATGCCTGCATAAAGTGAAAGCAACTTCTATTATCTGCATTTATACTCTACCTTTAGATGAGAAAAATACAAAAAAAAGGTAATATCAGTTTATAAATTAGCTTATGCAAAAATGAAAATATATCTGTAAAATAGAACCAGATCCTCAGCTGGCATCAATCCATCTACTGCCATTGAAGCCAGTGGTGCTCATTGTAGCTTAACTGATTTACACCAACTGAAGATCTGGCACGAAATCTGGACCCCATTAGCTTCAGTGGGAGCTTTGCTGTTGACTTCAAAGGAGCCAGAATTTCATCCCTGGCCCATAACATATGAACAAAATTTTAAAAGAATGTCTCACCTCCAAACCAAGTAAAAGCAATAACATAAAAACAAACACTCAAGCCAGAGGAGCTGCTTTGGCATTTCCCATCTGGCTTTGTTTACAGATATAGGATCCTAGGAAAGTAAGGCTGGAAGGGACCTCACAAGGTCATTTAATCCAGCCCCCTGATCAAGACAGGATCATCCCTTACTAACCAGCCCAGGTCTGTCTAATCTGCTCTTGAAAGTTTCCAATAATGGAGATGCTACAGCTTCTCTAGGTATCCTGTTCCAATGCTTGGTCAACCTCATAATCAGAAAGGATACCTGTAAATGTGTGGGACCCCCTCCTCTGATGCGTTGTAATTAAAGTGCCCACAGCACCTTGTGTATTCAGTGCCCCATGCTTCAAAATGGTGGTAAGGGTACTTTAACTAAACCTCATTGAACAAGCTGTAGTTAAAGCACCCCTGCTGCCACTTGGACAAGTGGGATGCTAAATATATGACATGCTGCAGGTGCTTTAATTAGAGCAGCTTCCTAGAGCTGCTCTAATTAAAGCACCTCCCTGCCCTCCACTTCCAGACACACATGTAAAAATGCACAAAGTGTCTCCTAATCTCCAGTCAAAATTTTCCATGCTGCAGCTTGAGGCCAGTGCTCCTCCTCCTGTCCCTAGGGCCACAGAGACAAGCCTGTCTCCATCCTCTCTATAATCACCCTTAAGGTATTTGCCCCAGCTTAGCCTAAGCAAGGGGTCCTAGTGAGGCTTTCAACTCATCTGGCTCTCAAGAGCACCCAGGCATTAGAAATAGAGGCCATCTGAGAAAAGGCAGACTCAAAACACCCTCTCTTTTCTGTGACCATCAGTATGATTCAGGAACCAGAAAGGAACGTGTGTGTATTTGAGTTTTGCACTTTATGTGCATTCTGAGCTGCATTTACTTAAGCAGCCTATGGGTTCCAAGAAGCTGGTCTGGAACATAATTGATCTGAGGAACTAGAAAGAATGAGATAATTACAGATTTTCTGCCAGCAGATATTTTAATGGTAACAGATGGGGGAAAATTAAGGTTACAAAGAAATGCTTTGAAATTATCTGTCAAACCTTTTCCTGATCTCTGCAGCAAGCCTTAGGTAAAGAGCCAGTGTGTGGCTCTGACATTCAGAGCCTCACAAAACAATCTACAAGAATCACTTAGATTGATGACCTTGTTCAAGCACCCAAAAACATGATAATCATGATTTCAAAGAAAAGACCCTATCTGCCCATTGCAAAGAGTTAAACTAATGATGCACCAGCATTAAACTATGAAAACATACTTTGCTGTTTAAAATGGACTAAAGGTAACATTTGGATTTAGAAGCTTAATTTCATGTACCAAGTTTTAAACATCCAAATTTGAAAATGTAAACTGTTGTATCTTTGATTCAGTGTTGACCTTTTAAAAGTGAGGTAACAGAGATGGAATTTTTTAAAGTAGCCATTTATCTGGGGCAGAAGAGGGGTCCCTTCTTGGTTTTCCATTCTGATGCATTTTGGCTTACTTTTCAAAGATTCAAACTCTTTCACCTGAATTTGTGAGTATTGTGCCTAAACCTAGGCCTAGATGGTGGAATTTGGTTATCCCTTATATTATTTGCCTAAATGGCACTTACCAGCCATAAGTGATGTTCACAGGTTGTGATTATATGTGCAGTTTGGACACATAGGCTTCATCCAGATGAGCATGGCCATGTGGTATGTGGTGCTACAGACACATCTGCAGTACCACATACCGCACATTTAGATGTTATACATGTTGCAAGGGAGCAACGCGGGGTGGTAGGGAGGGGTTTGACCCCTGGATATTAGGCCTGTGTAAAGTGGCTAGTATTTGCTTTGCATTTGGATTCAGCCAAATTGGGGGAAAGTGACTTGATTCAGTGAAAAAAACCCCAACCCCCACCCGGACTCACTGGTTCCTGCCCGGCAGGGGGGGCAACCCCACTGCCCCATGCCACTTGGGGGGCTCTGAACAAGCCCCCAGAAGCCTCAAGGCCACTGCAGGAGTTGGTGAGTCTGGGGGGGTGGGGGTTTGTTTTGTTTTGTTTTTTTCTTAAAGGGCAAGGGCTGAGGCAGGCAGGGCAGCCATGGTTGGGGGTGCTGGGAGAGTGGGGGGGTCAGGGGGCTCATGGCAGAGCCCCCCATGCAGTGTGGGACAGTTGGGGGCAGTGGGGATTGCCCCCCCCACTCCTGGCAGCACCAGGAGTAGAGGCTTTTTTTTAAAGCACCAGGAGCTGGAGTGGGTGGGGCAGCCATGGGGGTGCTAAAGGAGCGGTTGGGGGGCTAGGGAAGCTGACAGGGGTCCCCCCATGATCCCCTCCCACCTCCTCCAGCTTCCTCTCCCCCACCCCCTACTTACCAGCTTGGAGTCCAGGTCCAGTTCCCTGCTGCAGCAGGTAGGGACTGCCCAAATCACCGAAGCTCTCTGAATCTTTTCCAAATCAGTTCAGAGAACTTTCAATTGATTCAGACATTTTAATTGGTCCCCTGATTCAATTCAGATTTGGAGATTCGGCCACTGAATCGAACCGAATCTCCTCTGAATCAAATCAGCACCCGAAGCTTTCCACAGCCCTACTGGATATCCTCATGGCTATTCATCCATGGATATTCAGGAATCAAAAAAACCTGTGTAAAAAAAAAAAAAGCGGAGTGGCACGGCACACACAGGGGCAGCATGCACTGCTCAAAACCAGAGCCTGGCCAGCCAAAGCCACATTCCAGCTTCCAGCCAGGCTCCAAGTGTCAGGACCACCACTACTGCAGCCCCAGGAGGCCCCCAGGATAAAGCTTCTGGGGCCACCCCGGTGCTGGCTCCAGCTGCCCTTACTGCACCCGGGGTAACCTGCCATGTGCCAGAGGGAGCGTGGCACAGGCGTTTCCTGAGGACTAGTGGCAGCACAAGGGGTGCTGCTGCTAGTTGTCCTTGAGGAACCAAACATCCATGCTTGTGTGGACATGGCCATAGGGTGCAGACAGAAGTGCAACTTCCCATTGTAACTGAGGACACTTTGCAGGAAGTATTCTGAGTTACAGTGATCCCCAAACTCAGCTATACATTTTTTGGAAATGTAGGCCAGAATATCTATTTGCAGACTGTTAGCTTGGCAGCACCTCTGTTTCACAGAAATGAAACCTGGCCTGGTCAAACTCCCTCTGTAATCAGTGGAAAGACTCCGATTGACTTTATTGGAAATTGGAAAGGGCCTATGGGCAGTAGCTGTAATTGCCTGAGCACGAGATGGTGATCTCTGCATTACATGGTAATTTTCCATACGTTTAACAGAAAGAGTCTTTTGATTGTTTATCCCTGGTGGTTTCAGTGCCTGTGTAACCAAAGTAAACACAAAGGTGTTTGTTTGCACATGGGAAGTGGGAGGCTGGGTCCTGTGAGTAATTTGCTGTAATTGTCAATATCAGCAAATGGTGCAAATTAGATAGGGGGGACAAGGGTAATTTAGAAATTGTTTTGCTGAGATTTGTGCCTTTCAAAACACAAAGGAGAGAGGATTTGCTTAGTTTGTTTCTGATATGAACCCCATGTTCAGTCAAAGTTTATATTTTAGGAATAACCCCCTTTTTGTTTGGGCCTTGCAGGAATTTCAGATTGCAGCCTGAAAATGTAGACTGTGATTGTGATTCCACCTGAGCTTTGCATGCATGATTTGAGGTTAATTTCAATGCACAGGGACTGAAACAAACCATACGCTGCTATGCCAAGGCCGCCGAGCTTATCACAGCTGTACTGTTGTGTTTATAAATAATACAAATGAATTGTCTACTTCAAAATACCTTTTGATTTTTTTTTGAAAGATCCATCAGGAAGAATGTTGTTTCATGATACAAGAGGGAAACAAAACAATGAATGAAAGATTGCCTGTAATTACTACTGATGAATGAATGCCAGTGTAGAAGTGCTCTGTTTTTCAGTGATTGGTCCTTGTAAACCTTTGCTTTTTCTCCCTCTAGAAGATGTCACTCAGCTCTTGCTATACAAAAACAGTAATAACAGATTGCTTAAACCTAATGTATTTGTGTAAGATTTGGCAATTATCACCAATGACTCTTATTTTCTGTTGTGTTTTAGTACAAATTGCTGCAGCTGTGGTTGGCTTCCTGGATTGTCTTCCTCGGGCATGTGCTATGAAGTTAAACCCTTATACTCAGAATTACTATCTGTGGACTCTGAGTTAATGTTTTCTATGTTTTTAGAGCTCTCACCAACACAGAACTTGAGTAGGAAATGTGGATTTTATTCAGAAAACAGTGAGGAGTTTATTTATCTGAATGGTAAAAGGTTTAGATACAAATTCTAAACCAGATTAACAGACCATTGAAATATGGTCCTAGTTCTGGAAATCTTCCCTCTGCAAAACGCTTGTTAAAATAAATGGGAGTTCTGTACATAGTACATACAGGATTCATCCCTTTGGACTTTGCAGAAGGACTTTATAAACATCCTACTTGAAAAAACATCCTGTATAGCTCAGCTCCTCTGAGTAACTTTATTCATAGAATCAGTCCCAAGGAAGTCCGTTTTACTCTTCACAGTGAGAGCCTAGAGACTGTTGAATGGAGGACTGGTGTCAGGCTTCTTCACTTCCTCTCAATCATTTTCTTCTGTTCTTGCTCAGTCCCTCTTTAATGTCTATCCTCTATTTTCTTTCCCATTCTCAGCCCTCCCACCATCATGGTCTTCTCTTCTAGACCTTCCAAAGTCTCTTCCCTATAAGTTATTGGCTGCCAGCATTCCATTATAATAATACTGTGTGTAATTCCACTATTATAATAATGTATAGTATATAATGGTATATGTATATAATACTGTTGAATAATATAACTATGTATCTAACTATATCATTTGTATGTAATAATACTATACGTTTTTCTAATAACAATGTGTGAGTAAATATAATTTGTAATGCTGATATGCAATCCAATATAGCACTAGATTCACTACTGCTGTTCTTAAATAGGCTTTTCCTTTGAAAAGTCAATGGGTGCCTGTAGACGTGGGTGAAGGCTGCTCCGACACACTGCGAGCAAACTTGATTAACCGTGTCTGCTGGAGCATGCTAATTAGTGTGCCTCAAGCAGCCTTCACATCTTGTATATCAGCATCCCTGCCACCTTTTTGAAGTGTGGGGGTGCTTTAACTAAAGCTCATTTGACACATTTTAGTTAAAGTGCCCCCACTGCCATTTTGAAGCGTGGGGATGCTGATACACAAATCACTGTGAGCTCTTTAATTACAGTGGCTCTTCGAGCTGCTCTACTTAAAGCACCTCCCCCCACCCCTGGAGCACATGTAAAAACATCCATTGTGAATTGTGGGGTGGGCATATGAACAGTTTACTGTATGGTAGCAGTGGAGAGGGCTTTACTACACCTGCCAAGCAGAGTCTGCCCTGTATACAAGCTATGTCATGGCAGCTTAGCCTTCAGTAAAAAAGTGCTAAACGACCTTAGTATCATCTCCATTTAGCAAAGGGTAAAAGTTAATTCACAGCAACCAACGAGGAGTGAAGTCCTATATTTTTTTCCCCTTGGTGGTATTTTGTTTGTCTTTCCATATGTTAAGGGAATCAGTATCTGGGCTTTAGATTCATGTTAACAGTTATTCAATAGTTCACACTTGAATCGAGACCCAAAATACCATAAAATTTTAAACAATAATGCAATTTTTGTCTTATTTAATTTGCTGTATATGTTTTTAACCTTATAGGTTTTGATTTTCAAGCTTTTCTCTGAAATGATGAGGATTTCAATTCTTTTTTTAAAAAGAAGTTGGAGTTTCTGGTACATTTATGTGATTCCACAAGCTTGGGCTTTAAGAAAAAACACCAGTTATCGCTAGATGCCTGAAATAATGGTGAGAGTTATCAGTCCTGTGAAAGTGGGTGTGATAACTATTGTCCTCCATTTGGTCTACTGGTTGGTATCATTTTATGAGACCTTTCCAAAAAACAAGAATTTGAGTGAGTGGAACAGGTGAGGTTCATAAATAGGTGAGGTTCTCATTTTCTCTGCCACAGAATGAAAATGAGACCAAAAAAAAAAAGGACAGATGTCACTCATAATAGACAGGAGTCTCATGGTTGGGGCACTTGCCAGGGATAATGCAGGCCTTAGTTTAAGTCTCCTCGCTGTTTTGAGGTAATCTGTCCCCTAGTTTATTGGCTCTTTCTCTTTGTATTTGTCTCTTTCTGACTTTGACCAGAAATTCGATCCTGGGCCCAAGAAATCCTTCTGATGAAATCTTCATTGAAACAGATTTGTTTCTCCCAAACATTTGGAATCAATATAACATTTTTTCACAGAAAAGATGTCTCATCAAAACACTTCTACCTTTTAATTTCACGTCTAGTTTTCTATTTCTACTTTTTAAAGACTTCTTAAAGCACAGTATTCTCTCCTCTCCACTCAACATCTCTGCTACTTAGCTTGTATTCATGTTGTGCATGGATTTCCTGGAGACATTAACAGCAGCCTATACACATGCTCTGGGAAGAGGTTGGGGCGGGGTGTTTTAATTAGAGCAGTTCCTGGAGAGCCATTGTTAAACCCATGGGTGCTTATATATGTGACACTGTGTTGATGTTAGAGCATTCTAATTAGAACATGGAGCAGACTAAATTAATTGAGTCTTCTTCAAAGTGTTTTAATTAGAACACATCAGAACACTTGTATAGGCACCCAATGGCAATGGTGACTTGACTGGGAGGAGATGTGCAATACAGGTCAGAGTAGGAGAGCTTTGCCTATAGTTTAGTAGCTCTTTGTAGCCTGCATCAGCTCAAGTTTGGTTTCCCTGAAGTTTGCATTCTTAAAATCAGGCCTAGTAAATATTTTTAAGATTATTATTTTGTTTATTTTTAAAGGGTTTTTTTTATTACCATACAAGATATCTGGGTTGGACATCAAAAGAGGATATTCATCACAGATGATTTGCTTCTGAAATCATTCTCTTGAGTTTTCATTACATAGATGTTATTTGACTAACCAAAGTTGCATAAACACAGACTGATAGCAGGAGGTGCCTCTGATTCATGCTTTCCAAGTTAATGAGTGATGAGGATTTGCTGGAGTTAAGTGTTCCATACAGATGGCTAATTGGAGTGTCATTCTTTCTGTCTGGGGGATACTCATGAAAGCCTTGCCATAGCAGGGATTAAGTCTATGCATGTGTTCATTTTGCCAAGGTGCCCCTTTGATGCAGAGGACTATAAACAGAATTGCCCCATATTAAAGTTAATAGAAACAGGGTTTAACCATATCTATTTAGGAGAAAAATGCTATAAATATATATATACTGCTACAAAGGGTTAAGTGTGGAAAAATTACTAATTATTATAACTGGGATTTGGAATGTTTCTGTATCACTTTTCAGT